GTTCTCGTGGTCATTTTCTCATGTGGCCTTGTTTGAAAAAAAAATCAAATTTTAAATTTCAAAAAAATGGAAACATGGAACAATATATTGAAGGAGGATATGGTTTTAAATGAAAAAGTTATAAACATAAAAGTTGTAGAACTCATCAATCTGTACAACTTTTGTTTTTGTCATATTTTCATGTGACTAAAGTTGAATAATTGAAATTTTGAATTTCAATAAATGATACATTCAATCAACATTTTGAGACATCAAATGATTTGAACTCAAAAAGTCATGAACATAAAAGTTGTAGAACACATTAATCTATACAACTTTTATTTTGGTCATATTTTCACGTGACTAAGGTTGAACAATTCAAATTTTGAATTTCAATAAATTATACATTCAAACAAAATTTTGAGACTCCATATGATTTGAACTTAAAAAGTCATGAACATAAAAGTTATAGAACTCATGAAGACCTTCAACTTTTATTTTGATCATTTTTTCATTCGACAAAGTGATAGTAACATTATTCACAAAACTTACATATCTCTCATATAGTTTATGAAACCATATGAGAGATATATAAAATTTGTGAATAATGTTCTTACCACTTTGTCTGATAAATAAATGACAAAAATAAAAGTTTTATATCTTGATGAGTTATACAACTTTTATATTCATGACTTTTCCGGTTGAAATCATTTACTCTCTGAAAATGTTGTTTGAAGTTGTCATTTTATGAAATTCAAAATTTGAACTTTTCAAATTAAGTCACATGAAAAGATGATCAAAATAAAAGTTGTCAATCTTGATGAGTTTTACAACTTTTATGTTTACAACATTTTAATTTTAGGTCATTTTCTGACTTAAAATTTAATTCGAAGTTCACAAATTCAAAATTTCAATTTTTGAATATAATTTTTAATTTTAAAAAAAGAAAATGTATCATTATATATATATCTGCAGGTTGTTTTTTATGAGTTCGAAAAAATATAGCAAAATGTTTTTAATATATTTATAAAAAAAATATGTAGAATTAACATTTAAAAAATACGAAAATATTTGAGACGGCCGGTGATTGAGCCGCCTCTACAAATCGAATTTATAGGAGCAACTGATAATTAAGCCATCCTTATAAATCGACCCATTTATAAAGGTGACTGGCCTGGTAAGTCCCGAGCCACCACACTACAGGGACAGCTCTATCATATGTCGCCCCTACCAAACAAAATGTCCCTTTGCTACAAACTCCTTTTTAAAAGTGCATGCAAGGTAAAGCAGCAGATATGAATGGACAGAGACGCGTGCCCACCACCTACGCTGCCCGCTGTACCGACGTACACGGTACACATGCTGCAGCTGCACACCACAGTGAACTGTAACTTTACTGCGGTCCAGTAGGCAGATTATTATTAAGAAAATTTTCAATGAGCCATTATAAAAGATGTATCTTTTTTTTTAGCCACCGAAAAAGTTTATCTTATGGCTTGTTTAGATTGCAAATTTTTGCAACATGGACACTGTAGTACGTTTCGTTTGTATTTGATAAACTTTGTCTGATCATGGACTAACTAGGATCAAAAGATCCGTCTCGTGATTTACAACCAAACTATGTATTTAGTTATTTTTTTTATCTACATTTAATGCTCCTTGCATGTGTCTAAAAATTGATGTAATGAAAAAAGAATAAAAAAACTTGGAATTTAGAGGTGATATAAACAAGGCCTCGTTTCTTAGCCACCGGGTTTTTTTTTACCCCTGTACGTCCGTCAAAACGGTAGCTAACTGGAGCATGAAATGTCCCTTTTGCCCCTCCTCCATGTGGGCCCCACGCGTCATCTTCCTCCTCGTCTTCCAGGCTCTCCACCCCGCCGCCGAGCGCCCCTCGCCGGCCCGACGCTGCTACTGCATGCCTCCACCCCAGCTCTCGAGGCAGAAGGCCGTGTTGCCGAGCTACAAGAGCGGACGATGGCGGCGGGCGGCGCCCTGCCTCGTGGGCGCGCCGAGATCGCACTGCAGGCCGCCATGGCGCAGCTCGAGGTGAGTTCCACCACCTGCTCGTCGCGGGGTGCCTCCGCTCGCCGCCGAGGACGTCCAGGCGTGTGCGGGCACCGTCGCCACACCACCACCCCTGCACTGCTGTAGGCTGCAGAATCTGTCAATCCCCGTCCCGTGGTGTCGTGTGGTGTGGTAGCTACTAGGACTATAGGGGATCGGAGGAAGGCTAGCTAGGCCGAATCCCCGCGCGCGTCCTACTAGCGAGTAGCGTGCACAGTCCCGCGGGGGTGGAGCGGGCGGCCAGGGCCAAATGCCTCCTGCTGCGTGCTCCTGGCGGCGGCGCAACACGAACAACTCGATCCGCGCCGCGCTACGGGTGTCCCTGCTTTGGTGGTACACGGTGCGTCTGGCGATTCCATCGCGCGCGTGGCCGTCTCGCTCGCTTGCTTCCTCCCAGCCCCGCCCGCGTGCGCGCGTCCGTTTGCTTTGACCATCCAGGAAACACGGGTGGGATTCCGGCCGCCACGGCCGCCGGCCTGCCGTGGTGGTGACGGGCGGCGCAACCGAGCAGCCATGGTGGCGCAAGAGGAAAGGATGAAGAAGATGATATGTGGGGCCCACTTGTAAGAGGGGCAAAAGCGGCATTTTGAGTTCCTGTTAGCTGCCATTACCACAGAGTTGACGGCAGCGGTGGCGTATATGGATCGAAAAAACCAAACGATGATTGAGATGGAAGATAAACTTTTCCGGTGGCCGAGAAGGAAGATACATCTTTTATAATGACTTAGAATTGTCTCCCAAATCGATCCACGCCAGGTCGCCAGCCCAGCCTCAGGAGGACCCTGCGGAGCGGCGGGCCTTCGGCACAACTACATCGACGCCACGCAGGAACACAACTGTAACATTGTACACTTAAGTTCAAAAAAAAAACATAGTACACTTGAGAATTGTTATATAGCTGTCGACAGAATTAGATGGCATATATCATTGTTCATATTAATTTTTTTGTGACTTCATTGTTCATATTAATTGAATTCATATAATTAGCTATATTAAATTAATGTCATTTTATATTAAAATTAATATTACTAGTCATGCTTTTTAAATAGTTTTTAATTACACACTAGTAATATTGCAAAATCAATACTATTAGTCATAAGTCATAGGAATAACTTGTAGATAGTTTCACTTTCACCTACTATTATATTGTTCATGGATACGTATGATATTAGATATTTTTTATTATGGATCTATAATAGGATAGAGAAAATAACAAAAAAGATTAGAATACATCTATTTAGTATCTATATTAGAAACGAATACAAATATCTATATTATAAATTTATTGGATACGGATTCCGATGATTCCATATTGAATTCTCTATGATAAGCCTCGACATGAATTTCATCTAAGTTTTTGAAATGTTACTCCGCTACGTTTCATAAAATAGTTGGCACTAATGAACACATCAAGCCTATCAAATCGATGAAACCAGCTTTGTACAGACTATGATCATTGTGCTAGAGAAGCGATGGTGCCGTAGGTGTTTCCAGAAAATTATGGCTGGCTTTTGGATTCCTGCTTTTATATGTCAAAAAAAAAGTACCAAGTTCTTCTACCGTTGAAGAATAAAAGGGAAAAAGTGGCATTTTATCAGGATAGGATCAAGTTTTGCATCTTTTATATATGAACACCTTGTCAAATTACAAGTATGTTTTTCTACGTTGTATTGTGTAATTCTAAAAAAAAATTACAAGTATGCTTAGAATATAAAAATTATACAGGTAGATTTCTATTTCTAAATGTTTTCACATAAACTAATTGTTAAAGATGTATTGACAGATAGCGCAGCGTTCTATTGCAATGCACGTACGTGTCTACTAGTCTTTTATAAAGAGAGCGAAAAAAGGTCTTGTATTGGGAAGAAACATTTTAAGATAATAGGAGTACTTTATATACTATTAGTTTCTCCATGATGGATCTACTTGATAAAATGCACTGCCTTTTTTTTATTATAGCACCTCTCTTTTTTATTTCTAAAAATTACGTGCTTGACTTTTTTCTACTAGGTCTGTGTAATCCAAGTTCTTAGCTCCAGCATTGCCTAGACTCTAGAGCAAAATTACCATAGTTTAATTCACATCATAGAGAGGGCATGCGGCCAGTCAACGCGCCCTACATTAGAAGCTTGGGGCCCCTAGAAGCTTTGAACGTAATCCGGATGATATCGAAATAAAACAAATCGTTGACATTAGTTAATGCATGCAAAGTTATATATACCAAAAAATTTACAATAAGAATTAAAAAAAGCTGATGACAGCAGGTTTATTACATAAAAAGTACAGTGAGAATTAAAAATAAAGCTGATGACATCAGGTTTGCAATGAGAAAACAAAAAAAAAAAAAAACTGATGACAGCAGGTTTATTACAATAAAAATTACAGTGAGAATTAAAAATAAAGCTGATGACAGCAGGTTTACAGTGAGAAAAAAAAACAAAAAAAAATAGCGGATGAGAGCAGGTTTATGGCAATAAAAACTACAGTGAGAATTAAAAATAAAGCTGATGACAGCAGGTTTACAATGAGAAAACAAAAACAAAAAAAAAAAAGATAAGCTGATGAGAGTGGGATTTGAACCCACGCCCTTTCGGACCAGAACCTTAATCTGGCGCCTTAGACCAACTCGGCCATCTCATCAGTTGTGCCTTTAACTGTAGGTTACATGTATTTATTATTTACTATGCTATCTTATATAATAATTCTAAAGTCACGCTTTGCTCGTGATTGAGCACCCGTATCGTGTGTGCGCGTGCGCGGAAAAGCAACCTCAAAACACACCAAAAACGCGATCGTCGCGGTATCATACGCCACGCCCAAATCTAAGTCCCTTCTCCTATATAAACTCTCCCAACAACACGTCGTAACAGCCCACACTGCACAAACCCACAGCATCAGTAAGCTCGCTCACCGTCACACGACGACGCACGCACAAGATCATGGTGGCCACAGCAATGACCGGCAGTACTCGCGCCAGCGCCGGCTCCTTCTTCCTCGTGCTTCTCTTCGTCGCGCTGACCGGCGTCGCCGACCTCGCGTCCGCCGCCACCGGAGCGGGTGCCACTGTTGCCTTCAGCGGCGACGACAACAACAACGTGGCGGCCCTTCTGACGACGCCGGCGTCGGCGTCCCCGGTCGAGCTGAACGGCTTCATGCAGTGCCTGCTGGGCTGCTTCACGCAGGTGTTCGGCTGCTCGTTCGGGTGCATGGGCAAGAAGGGCGCGGACCTGCCGCTCTGCATCATCAGCTGCGACCAGAAGAGCGTCGTCTGCATGATCCGCTGCGGGCTCTCGCCGTCGCCGCCGTCGCCGCCCAAGCCCTCGCCGCCGGGGCCCAAGCCGCCGTCGCCCAAGCCACCGTCGCCCAAACCACCCAAGCCGCCCACGCCCAAGCCACCCACGCCCAAGCCGCCCACACCCAAGCCCTCGCCACCAACTCCCGCGCCACCCGGCCCGCCCTACCCCGACCCGCCGACGCCTGCGCCACCCGGCCCGCCCTACACCCCGCCGTACGCCGTCACCGGACGCAAGACCGCGGCCTCTGCCAAATATGCCTGCCGACATGTGCTATCTCTCGATCAATCCATTGTACCAGTGAATATATACACCATAAAATGAGCATATATATTTATATCCATTAAGTTAAAAAAAAAAGATACTGATCTCATGCTATATCTTATTATTAATTAACCTGGTCAATGTGTGCTACACTCTGTTAGTATGTTCAGGGTGAAGGCCAAATTATGTCATCAAATGAGTAGTATATGTACACAACATGATCAATGTATCTTGATCTTTCAATATGATGAATGTACTTTGCTCTTTTTATTCAAATGTAATGCTATTTGTAATTAAGTATGTAATGCAAGAACCATTATACTATTTATGCTTGAGCATGGAATTTTTTCATATCCCTTTATCTCAAAAAAGTATACTCCCGATTTATGCAACCGTGAATGCATCGCTCATTCGCTCTCCGTCTCCCCGAACTTACACAACTTCTCTAATAAACTCACATTTCTTCAATAACCTCCTCCCAAATCCCAATACCTTAAAAAAATGAATCACCTCACTTTCATCGGTGAAAGAAAATAGTATACAGGGAGCTGGAACCAAGCCATATATAGCCACCATCCTCGCAATATCACTTCCCGGTCCCGGGGCTCTTGCTGTCATCTTTATACCTGTATGTATCGTCATCTGTGCAAATGCAACCTGTACCAGCAGTTCTCCAGATTATGATGGAATGCATTTGCCGTGACAGTGTCACCAAGGCCAAGGGTGCATCTTACTGTAGAGGATTTCAGAGGTGAAGCCTCTGACTTCTGCATGTGCAAGGGTCAGGCTGGAGTAGTCCAGGCACTTCCGCACCAGCAACATATGAACCTAACCTGCAAAACCTGTTCTTGTTTGTAGCCTTATTTGTTCCAATCACTTGCAAAAGTATGCACTACAGAGTAAACACAATCAGGAATCAGTGACACAAATTTACCAACTTCACACAAGAACACATGCATTTCATTCCTTTATAAGCATCTGTACAATTACAAAGTTACAACCCGGTCCACAGGATCAGCATTCAGATTTCTGTGGCATGAAAACAGTGTAACACTCTCAGTTAATATATATCAACAGATCTTTGCTGGAACTCCTCCACGGAGACGTCAGAAACTTATATTAATAATACAATCAGCAGGGGAAGACTGATCTTGTAGTGAAGTTTTCCTGCTACCAAGGCTTCAGATCTCCAGCAGGCCCAGCAGTCCAGTTGAGGTGCTTCTCTCTTGGTTGCAAGTATACACTCTGCATGTGTGGCAACTTGCGAGCAAGGCCGTTTAGGATCTGATGGAATGCGTCCCTAGGTTGGGCTGGCTGTGGGAACAGCATGGCCTTCTTCATAGATGGATTGGCGAGCAATCTTTGCTTCCGTAGAATATTTTCGATTGGAATGGAAGTGAGGATTGAATCTAGCTTCGGAACATCCTCTTCGTCGACAAAAACACCAATCTCCTCCCATGGGATAGCATCAGCAAATGGTAGAACAATGTCATCAGCTATGATGACTGGAATGCAGCCGAAAACCACGGCCTCCACCAGCCTTGGGCTCCATGGTGCCCATCCCAGTGGGCACAAGCAGAAGACTGCGCGCTGCATATCTTCATAGTAAGTGATAGGGTGATCTTTGGAGATATCAAAGAGAGGATTGTTCTTGAAGTTCTCCCACAGTGATGCTCGGGCACCTCTGTTTCACATCCCAACAAAATGAGTAATTAGGATCCAGACATCATGTTTTGAGAGTATAGGATAGAAAATTCTACACATATGGCATGTCCTTACCTCGCATAATACCCACCCTCAGGGTCATTACCATTGTCATAAAACAGTCCCCTGAAGTAAACAAAGATTGAACGGGGAGTTTCAGGGGGAACCAAGTGAGCCTGCATTTTCTGTGGAGGTGCATATGGCGGTATAATGATAGAACCCTCTTTCAGGCAGACATGGTTCTTCTGTCCAAATGTTTGGACCAATGTAGCACGGCGGAGCATTGGAAGAATTCCACGTTCGGTAGCTTTTTCTTCCTATAAATAAGTCAGGTGAAAATTGCCAATATAACTTCAGAGTTATGGCTGCTAAAGGCAGGAACATTCCTGAAAAGGGAAAACCTTATATCTGATAGAACTCCATTTAATGGGGAACTGAAATAGTGGGCAGTGATGTCCTCACCTGATAGTGAAAGCATGCACCAAAATCATGTGGAACAACAAAGAAGTGATCAGCTCCATCAGTTCTGTTCCAGAAAGGCCACTTGTTTGAAATAAACTGGATTGCACTTCTCATCATCCTTGGGGATTTGAACGGCAGTGGAAGTCCAGCAGGAGTAAGATCACATGTAGTGTAAACTGGCGTGTAGAACCAATCAGCTTCTTCTGGATTGAGTGTTCGCACCGCACTAGAGAGCAAGAAACGATGCATGAATATCTCAGCAGCAAACATGTGATGGAGGCATCGTGGATCCTTGGTGACAATCCTCTTGTTGTACTTGCTTGGCAAGTCATAGATGTAAACCTTCAACCTTCCAATAGGATTGTCCTCTAGCACATCACCAGCACTTCCTGCATGTGAATACTCTTGGCTAAGAAACAGCTAATGAACGCCAAAAAAAAACAGCTAATGAACGGAGGAATAGCCTCCATATAAACCAAGTACACAGAAAGCTGACGGATAAATTGTAAAGCAAGCCAATCATGCAGCTATATTAAGACGGACATGGTAATTAGGTATATCTAGAATGTTAAAGAGGGGAAAAAGGTTGCAACATAACATAGGTCTAGGAAGTTCAATTTCGACAAACCACTATGTAATCTAGAGATGGTGTGTGTGTGCTGTTGTATGGCTATATAAGCCTTTTATCCCCTTTCTTAATGCAATGATACGCAGCTCTCCTGCGTATTCCAGAAAAAAAAATGATCGAATCATACCAAATTAATGATGTTGTGCATCTTTCTGCCATACTATGTTTCCCTTGGTCTTTGTCATCTCTTTTTGACAGATTCAGAATTTATGGGCTAACTTCCTGTCTCTGTCCTACAACTGCCTTTTAATTGTAGACACATAATGGTGCAGGCATCACTAGCCTTGGTTTGTTGCAGCAGAAATTGTCAATGGCATTACTCTGCAAGCAGTGAAGGCAGGCAGGTATGGTTGGCTAAACTACCAACAATCATCAACCGCGGAGCACTTGGAGGAGAAGCCAAAGGCTATTCTGATGGTAGCTTTATATTTGTCATTAATGTTTTTTTTTTACCGTGGAGATTATATGCCTCACAAAAATACACTCAGAATGATCCACGGACCAATTAAGGGGCAGTACAGAACTGGCGCCAATTTGATCTTTTTTGTTAGGAGGGGGCACAATGTTGTTGAAAGATCGAATTTTGCATATGATGGCACCTATGGCAACCGCATATCTGTAGTAATAAGGGATGTCGACTGGAAGGAAGCAAAGGAAAAGTTTTAAGAATCTGCCGGTGAACTGCATTCGAACAGCCAATTCAGAAAGTCCCAAAGCTCGCTGACGATTCCACCAGACAAAAGCTGAGCTATTCTACAACTAATAATCACAACCCACGATCAATCCATCCATAGGATAAATGTACAACTAATCACAACCCACGATCAATCCATCCATAGGATAAATGAAAAAAAAGTGTTCCTACGAGGAAGTCGGGAGCGCCAGACAGAGCGAGAAGGGAGTCACCTGCGATGCGCTCGGTGTTCCGACGAGCCACCCCGCCGGCCACCTCTGCCCCCGCAGCTGCGGAGACCCGCGGCGGCGAGAGGACACAAGAGAGGGAAGCGACCGCAAGGAGGAGGACCGCGGTGGGGCGCCACACCACCCTCGCCCGCGTCATGGCCGCCACTCCCAACAACCAACCCGGTGAAGAGATTCAGCCGCGAGATGGTGGGAGGCAAGAGAGAGATGCGCAGAAGCTTCTCGGAGAAATGATCAGCGGAGAGTGGAAGAGAAGATAGAGATTGCCTTGGGATGGGAGAAGAACGAGCCAAACCCAAACGGGGGTTTGTTAGTTGCTTGTGAGGATAAATTTGCACAGAGGAGGGAAGGATTGGGAATGGTCGAATGGGTCATGCAAGGTTATGGAAGCACGGGAAACACCATCGACCATTGTGAGCAAAGGCTATATTTATTGTTTAGCAATTAGCAGATTGTATTTTGATTCTTGGTGTGGAAAAGGTAAAACTAATTGGTAGTACTATGGTAGGTAAGCACCTTGATTTGTGCTGAGTTTGTTTTCCGGTGGTTGGTCCTAGACTCCTAGGACAAAAGGGTGTCATGGGCTTGCTCGGGAGGGCTCTTCCTCAGTGAACGAGCTTGTGTAAAAAGCAACTCTCTGTAATTTGTCAAATTACAGAGCTGCGCGTGCTTCCTTCTCTCTTGGATTCTTCAGAGATTAGTTTTCAGTTTGAAGAGCAGACCGTGTTGCCCTCGCTTGTCTGGCAGGTTCACAAATCTTTGATCTTTCGTTGGTGAGGAAATCGAAATCACCAATGTTAGGTGAATGCGCAATATATATTGCTCCCAACTAACCTGATCAACTACTAATCAGGGTCAGGGAACCTACTCGATGCACTCGTCGTGTCCTACTACTATCCTGTCAGCGGGTTCCCATCAAATCTGCTTCCAACGTGTACTTGGAAACACAACATTAATTGATGGGTAGCAAAGTCGCCCAACCAAGATCCGAATAAAATGGGCACGCGAATGAGACGTCCCGCAATTGCGCTAATTGGCAGCTTCACTCTACCTTGGAGAAAGATAGGCCCCCATCTGGAATTCACTTGAACTCTTGCGGTAATTGTTGCTGTTTTTTCGTGAAACAAAAAACACACTATGGAATTGTCATGGCTTCACTCTCGCAGAGCTTCCAAACCAAAACTACGGCCCTGTTTGGACCCATGGTATAAAGTTTAGTATACCATTTTCGTTCTTAAGGCTCCAAAGAGGAGGTCTAAAATATTCTCTAGAGTTTAGATCATCTCACGGAACTGTGGACTACAAAAGTGATCTAAAGTTTTTAGTCTTTAATTTCAATCACTGACTTTAGGGCCCGCTCCTCCAAAAATAGCTCCGGTTCCGACTCTTATAAAGGAGCATATTCTTTTAGAGGGTTGAAGCCGTTTTTTTTTATTGTTTAACAAAACAGCTTCTTCGGATGGCAAAATGAGTGAAAAGTCCATAATACCCTTTTTTCTATTTTCTCTTTTCTTTTCTTTTTACTTTTCCTACCTTATCCAATCGCTTGCGGTTGCAACCACACGCCCGTAACGTGAGTACGCACGCGTCTTCAACCTCTGGAGCGACCGAGCGACTGGAGTCCGCACGCTCATCCCGCCGTCGCCGGCGCATGGGAGTACGCCCGGCCATGGGCCACCAGCGCCGCGCTGCCCTCCCCCACGCTCGCTCCTCCTCCTCGCGCCCTCTGTCCCGTGCGCCTTGCGCTCCTCCGCCCCTGGCCACCTACAGAACTCGGTGTCCCGGCCCTCACGCTGGCCGCGCCGCCCCGTCCGATCCTGGTCACTCCCGTCTTCGCCACGAGCGTCGCCGCCCACGCAGGGGGCAAATTCGCCCATGGCCCCACGATCTGAGCACGGAGCCGGGTGAAGCTCGATTTTTTTGGCTCCCATCGACCAATTTCGCACCAGAGAGCGCAATATGCGGGGCTCCTTCGTCGGAGCACCTGCCTCTATACCTGTTTGGCCGTGGGAGCTAAAAAACTGCTCCAGGAGCTGGTTGAGAATCCCTACCAAATGAGCTCTTAGACTAGAGAATCCAGACAAGCCCTGACCCATCCTGTTACCCTCCTGCAGCGAACTAGGTCTCGACTCATCGAGAAAAATATGGCGGTGCAGGATCCGAGACCCGTCAGTTGAGTTGTGGGCGGGCATGGGCACAACGCTATGTACGCGTAGCGCGCACATCCGGTCTCGTCCGGAGACGGTTTAGTAGTCCGGCACGACAGGACTATCCCCTACAACTTTCTGGCCTCTTGATCCACCAAATTGGCAAACATCACAAAGCTCTGCTAAGTTCCATTTAAAAAAATAATTATCATAGGTGTATAGTTTTCTTTCTCAAACTTCAAAATAAAATTCTTATCCCCTGAACTCTCATAAACCATTTAAAATACCTACTTGGTTAGTTACTTTAAAGATGGTTTCAATCTTTGTAAACAACAACAACAACAACAACCTGTCTATCCCAAGCAAGTTGGGGTAGGCAATGGTTTCAATCTTTGTAGTTAAATAAAATTAGGTAAATGTCTTATAGTTTTTAAACCCCAAAAATATCTCCAAGCTTCTGAAAATTCTAAAAAAAAATCATTAGGATACCAAAAATAAATAAATATTTAGAACTTATGAAAATATCTTTAGAATCTTCTCAAAACATAGATCTAGCTCTAGGAAAAATATCTAGAAAGATCTTTTAAAAAAAATCCCAAAACATTCTAATCGATTTCTAACTTGTTTTGAAAACTTTCCACAACATGAATGCATTGAACATTTATGCATGTTGCATTCACGCTTGATGCATCTCATATTTTGTCGTGTAAAGTTTTTTAAACATGATCAGATATCAATTATAATGATTATGGAATGCTTCATATTTTTCTAAATATTTTTTCCATTTTCTTAGAGCTAAATATAACCATTCCCATTCTACTATAAATACTTAATCTCTGATTATCTGGTGATTTATCGTTTTCACACGACTATATATCATGACGGCTTAAAGGACACAACGTCCTTTTCTTCCAACCAAGTAATACAAGAGTTGCTAACAGATGGGATAAAAAAATGGACTGTACCAGCTAAATGTGTTACATAATCAATCCCTCTTGAGATCAGAAAAAAAACAGAACCAATCTTGACAACAATTAACAGTATCCTTTAAGTAGCAGCAGGTTATTCATTACTGTCAGGTGCTAGCAACAACACTGCACTCAGATAACAGTCCACCAAAGGTATACCCTAAACCAGGCAAGAGAAAAGGTAAAGTTGTCGATCCACACAAACGACAGGGCCATAGGAACAGCACTAACAGAAATCTCAGCCGATGAGAAGCTTGTTCTCTTCCAAGAAGCTGTATGTCGGCACTTCCAGGTTGAAGGGTGCCGGGCCCTTGCGGATCCTACCAGAGATGTCATAGTGCGAGCCGTGGCACGGGCAGAACCAGCCACCAAAGTCTCCTGCATTGGGGAGCGGGATGCAGCCCAGGTGAGTGCAGACCCCAATGACGACCAGCCATTCGGGGTTCTTGACGCGCTCTGCATCCTGCTCTGGGTGGCGGAGGGACGCAACATCGACACTGTTGGCCAACTTGATATCATCCTCTGTCCTCCGCCTGATGAAGACCGGCTTGCCACGCCACTTCACAGTTACCGTGGTGCCAGGCTCAATGCTTGAGAGGTCAACCTCAAGTGAGGCAAGTGCGAGAACATCCTTACTTGCTGACATGCTCAGGACAAATTTCAAGATGAGAAGTCGCAGCAAAGATGCGTAAACGAACCTCCCACCACTCAGCACAAAGTAGGCAAATGCACGCTTGCTGGGGTCCCCAGGCTGGTAGCGCTCATGGTTATACTCATCATACACGATTTTTCCAGTTGGATTCTTCACAGCTGCCACAGTTGCTGGGAGCTCAGCTAAGCCCACATCCTGGTTCCTTGGAACAAGAGTTTCCGCTGAAAACCCTGCATGGGAGAGTCATTACATCTTATCATTAGAACAATAAAAGCAGTACCAGAAGAACAGTAGCACTATAATGTCAGAATTAACATTAAAAAATAGCACACAAAGAACAGTTAATGGAGGACCAACGAGTCAGCAGGCCAGTTATTCATAGCAGCAGAGTAGACTAAAGCTAAAGCTTTCACAAGTGTCAGAAAATTACAAAAAAACAGCCATTTTCATAGTTAATTTGACGTTTTCTTGTGCCAAGTGTTAAACTTTTACTGTTGCCGATTCTGTGTACTTGTCACTGCTCACTAGCTACATGTTATATGGACTAACAGTTTTCAATTTCTTTTATTTTGCGTCTAGTCAATAAAGTATTCTATATAGGGAGAAGCATGGCATGCTTCTACTCATTCCGTTAACATCTAAAGTATCATTTTTGCCAAAACTTAACAGCTTGTTCAATGATCAACATATCATAAAATAGATCAAAATTTGTGATTTGTGAAACCTATAACGTGAATGATCTGTGCATTGAGAAAATAGAATGATGAGAGTGCTCAACAAGTGAACTACACATCTGCCAACTAACGATTTATGAAATTCCTTTTGCAGTAAACCACAAGTTAGGTTACCCAGAATCATTGTCTAGATCACACAACAAAAAGAAATGGGTTCATGTTGGAACTATCAATTTGGTTATATAGACCAAAAGATCTAAGTGTGTGAGAAAAAAAGAACAGTTTCTAAGCTTAACAGGTTTCCAATGGTTAAAAATTTATGCTGACTAGTGGAGAGAATCAAATAAAAGCAGACAAGAACTATCTCACATGCAGTAGTGTAGCAATGGGATAATTTGAAACAACACTTGCCAAATTTAAATGCACACTAGTTTACCAACAAATCGGCCATGATAGCAGTAACAATGCAAGTAGATAATCCTACAAGATATATGAAAAAACAGTTAATTTACAGGAATTGATAACCATGAAAGCACATGTTTGCCTATATTTGAGCATGATGGTCTTCTGCCCTTAAACTTTCAGTTATTTTATAACGACACAATCTAACATGACAATTAGGTAACATTTGTACTCAATTGCCTTAGCAACTTCTTCAGACGAAATTAATCTGAAAATGTTAGCTAGAAATTAGACTGACCATTCCAGTAGAAGAAACTAAATAACTCAAGAACACATTAAAAGAACAGATTTTCTTCAAAGATTTTTGAGATGTCAAGCAATACAGCCTCAGCTTGCAAGATAGACATAATCAGCGGAAACAGTTGCATTTGAGATTGTCTTATAAAGCCAAATTAAGGTTGGACTTATCACCAAGTCAACCAATATACCATGAGAAAATAACTGTTGGTTATAATTTTGTTATTAATTGGACTCCACTATATTTTGAATGTAGGGTCGCTTACAGGTAAGAGAGAATTAGTTGATACCGCGACTAGGAGGCGTGTAAATATATTATGCGTTCAAGAGACTAAATGGAAGGGTCAGAAGGCGAAGGAGGTGGACAATACAGGTTTCAAGCTTTGGTACAAAGGGACAGTCGTGACTAGAAATGGAGGAGTTTTGATTGATAAGAGCCTCAAGAATGGTGTGGTGGGAGTGAGAAGGCAAGGAGATAGGATTATCTTAGTCAAGCTTGTCGTTGGTGATATGGTCTTGAATGTAATTAGTGCGTATGCCTCCTAAGTAGGCCTCGACGAGAGTGCTAAGAGACAGTTCTGGAAAGACTTAGATGGCCTGATTAGAGCTGTACCTAGTAGTGAGAAGCTTTTTATAGGAGGAGATCTTAATGGCCATGTAGGTACTACAAGCGTAGGTTTCGAGACAGCTCAAGGAGGTTTTGGGTATGGTAGTAGGAATCAGGAGGGGGAGGAAGTTCTGGACTTCGCGGTAGCTTGCGACCTGATGATAGCAACACTTTCTTTAGAAAGAGAGAATCTCATCTAAGGACCTTCAGTAGCGGACAACACTCTAGCCAGATTGACTTTGTCATCGCAAGAAGAAAGGACAAACGAGCATGCTTGGGTTGTAAGGTGATACCAGGGGAGTGTGTTTTTTCTCAACATAAGCTTTTGGTGACAGACTTTCGTTTTTAGGTGCGCGCCCGTAGGGATAAACAAGCTAAGATTGAAAGCACAAAGTGGTGGAAACTGAAAGAGGAGACGTCAGAGGTATTCAGAGAAAGGGTTATCAAAGAGGGCTCTTGAAAGGAAGAAGAGGACATAAACAACATGTGGGAGAAGATGGCAACCAACATTCAGAAGGTGGCCTCAGAGGTGTGTGGAGTAACCAAAGTAAGTGGAGGCGAGGCTAAAAATACTTGGTGGTGGAACGGGGAAGTCCAAAGGGCTATTAAGGAGAAGAAAGAATGCTATAGACGCTTGTACCATGACAGGAATGTGGACAACATAGAGAAGTACAAGGTGGCAAAGAAGACTACAAAGCGATCTGTAAGTGTGGCAAAGGGTAGAGCGTACGAGGATCTTTACCAACATTTGAGTACGAAGGAAGGAGAGAAGGACATTTATAGGATGGCTAGGGTTCGTGAGAAAAAGACAAGGGACTTCAACCAAGTTAAGTGCATTAAGGATGAAAGAGAGCATCTCTTGGTGAAAGAGGATGAGATCCGACATCGATGGCAAGAGTATTTTGATAAATTGTTCAATGGTGTGAATACGGACACAACCTTTCATTTGGAAGACTCTTTTGATGACACTAATAGGCGCTTTGTGTGGAGAATCAAGAATCTGAGATCAGAGAGGCATTGAAAAGGATAAAAGGAGGTAAGGCGATGGGACCGGATGGTATCCCAATCGAGGTGTGGAGATGCCTCAGGGACATAGCTATAGTATGGCTAACCAAGCTGTTCAACCATATTTTTCGATTGAACAAGATGTCTGACGAGTGGAGGAGAAGTATATTGGTACCGATCTACAAGAATAAAGGAAATATTTAAAGTTGTACTAATTACCGGGAAATTAAGTTGATGAGCCATAATATGAAGCTATGGGAGACAGTTATCGAGCATCGCTTGAGAGCAATAACGCGGGTCTCTATGAACCAATTTGGTTTCATGCCTGGAAGGTCAACTATGGAAGCCATTTTCTTAATAAGACAAGTTATGGAGCGGTATAGGGAGAAGAAGGACCTACACATGGTTTTTATTGACTTGAATAAAGCTTATGATAAAATACCAAGAAATGTTACGTGGTGGGTTTTGGACAAACATAAAGTCCCAACAAAGTACGTCGGGCTCATTAAGGACATGTACAACAATGTTGCGACTAGTGTTCGAACAAGTGATGAAGACACGGATGACTTTTCGATTAGGATAGAACTACATTAAGGGTCAGCTTTGAGCCCTTATCTGTTTATCTTAGTGATGGATGAGGTCACAAGGGACATACAAGGGGACATCCTTTGGTGTATGCTTTTTGCGGACGATGTAGTGCTAGTTGATGAAAACCGAACAAGAGTGAATCAGAAACTGGAGTTATGGCGGGAGCCTTTGGAGTCCAAGGGTTTTAGACTCAGTAGAATTAAAACTAAGTATATGAGATGTGACTTCGGCACTACTACTCGGGAGGTGGAAGATATTAGTTTGGAAGGTCAAGTAGTGTCTAGGAAGGATACCTTTCGATATTTAGGATCAATGCTACAGAGAGACGGGGATATTGATGAAGATGTTAGCCATAGAATCAAAGCAGGGTGGATAAAGTGACGCCAAGCACCTAGTGTCCTATGTGACAAAAGGGTACCACAGAAGCTAAAAGGCAAGTTTTATAGGACGGCGATTAGACCTGCTATGTTGTATGGTGCAGAATGTTGGCCTACGAAAAGACGACATGTTCAACAGATAAGTGTCGCGGAAATGCGTATGTTGCGTTGGATTTGCGGTCATACAAGAAGGGATCGAGTTCGGGACGATGATATACGTGATAGATTAGGGGTAGCACCGATTGAAGAAAAGCTTGTCCAACACCGGTTGAGATGGTTTGGACATGTCCAACAGAGACCTCTAGAGGCACCGATGCATAGTGGAATCATAAGCCAGGATAGTAACATGAAGAGAGGCAGAGGAAGACCGAAGTTGACTTGGGTAGAAGCAATAAAAGGAGACTTGAAAGGATGAAATATACCCAAAGACTTAGCCTTAGATAGAAGTGCTTAGAAAATAGCTATTCACGTGCCTGAACCTTGATTGCTTCTGCTATGTTTCAACTGTAGCCTACCCTAACTTGTTTGGGACTTAAAGAATTTGTTGTCGTTGTTGGACTCCACTATATCACAACAATATGTTGTTTGCATGTCGATAATAGCACTAACAGCGTCACTAGAGTTAGGACTAACTAGAGAACAACAATTATCTTGCAGAAACCAACTGCAAATTCTGGCACATGTTACCAGTCATGTTTCATAATTCAGACCAAGCAAACCAAAAGTCATGTTCTTCCATTCCATATACCATCCAGTCCCAACAGATATGACCGAAAACAGAAAATGAAACTGCTTCACGCTAAATGAATGAACCACAACGATCATAACCAGGGAGTTATAAGGCGCGATCTAAGATTACATCAAGTATGCAGGCGGGGATACACAGATCAACGAGCACCCTAAGAGCACATAAGCAAACCGGACCCAGACCGAGATCAGATACCGTGGATCGAACAGCCGCAGCTACCGCGAGCTCCGGAACCCTAGGATCAGGGACAGGATAGCATCCCGCCCGAATCTAGCCGTCAATCAAAGGGAGAGCAGACCGGAGCGACGATGAGAAGACCGACCGCAGCACATACCTCTGGCGGCGGCGAAGAAGGGAGAGTCGATGGCGAAACGCGCCCTGCGGTCGCGTGTGTCGTCGTCGTCGCGGCCGGGTAGTGTACCGGCGAGAGGGCCCCGGTTGCCGGCGGCGGCGGCGGCGGCGGGGCGCCAGGCGAGAGCGGACGAGAGGCGCCTGCCCGCGACCCTGAGCATGGTGGATGGAGAGGGGACGTGAGCTCGCAGCGGTCGCTCGCTTCTCGCCGGGTCCGACCTCCGAGGATCGGGCGTTTGGTGGGGGAGATCGATTCGGGGCCTCAGGGAGGACGGAGGAGACGCGGAGGCAGGGGCCGCGTGCTTGTAGCTGACGAGGAATCTGATTGGGAGAAGAAAAAAAAAAGAGGAAATTAGCTCGGTAGCATTAAAAGACTACATGTTTGATACGTACCATTAAAAGAATAAACTTATGCTACGTACCGTTAAAAGATTATATCTCTTTGGATTTTAGCAATTCCGTGAAGTCTCTGTTAACATGGACATATATATACCCCTGTCTCTTCCAATACATGAGCCCAACATGAATATATATGCTTATATAAAAGTGACATATTATAACACCTCAAAAAATTAGCATGAGCTCAACATCACCTTTAGAATATTATATTACTAAGATATGGCATAAGTACATAACATTGTTCACATCTGGATGATTAACTGGGTTCTCTAGGTCACATATAGCACCATAGTTAACAACACATTGGTTTAGAACAGAACACATACCAAGTTACACATGCTTAGACTAAGATAACTATTCAATTATAAGTCTACGGTTGATTCCTCCAGGTGAGATTGATGCCATCCTCCTTTGTTGTCACACCTGGGCTTGTTGGAGAAAGGGAAGCCATCCTCCTTGTGGTCATACCTATTGGACTTGCTGAAGAAAGAGATGCCACACCCCTTTTTATCACACCTAGGCTTGATGTTACTTTTGGATCATCAATAATGTTCAATGGCTCAGTAACTTTGGTGGAGGCTTCAACAGCTTCGAATTTTATTTTCCTGTAAGGCATAAGTCGGGTTAGTGAAAGAACATATTCCATCACATATAAGATATGAAACGTTAGCATATCAAACATAGGCATGGTAAATTACTTTTTCTATTTTTTTGGACGAGGGGGTGGAAGTTCTTGTTCTAGTTCAGCTTGAATTGCATAACAACCCTTCTCTATATGTCCAAATTGGAAGCACCTTTTGCATTGATATGGACCTCTTTTTTCTGGCTCTCCACTAGCCTTGATTCTTTGCTTCCTTGTCTACCAACAGGCCTTTCTAATGGTGGAGGAACCACTTCAAAACCAGGGTCATTTTTGGGCCATTGAGATTTGTCACCCATTGGAGTGATCTCGAACTGATAAGCTACCTTGAACCTCTCTACTGAATAATAGTCATCCACATTGTCCTCTACTTTTAGTTGTCTAACTTTTCCAAATAAAAAGATAGCATGAGTGCATGGTTTTTCAGACACCTTCCATTGTCCACAACCACATGTTCTTTTTGCAAGGTCAACACCATACCTTCAAGTCTTTCCTTCATTTGTTGTTCTAGATATCTCAGCTGACAGTGAGCCACTTTTGCAAAAATCATAGTGTAGCCCTCGACTCTTCATGTTCAGTTCATATAGCACACTAGGGAGGATATGACCTTCAAGTCTCTTGGTTATTTCCTGCCTTGTGGAAATCTTCTCCATGATCTTCTCTCTAATCTTATCCATCAAATCAACAACTGGAAGGTCTTTGTAATCCTTAATCCAATTATTGAAACATTCAGAGATATTATTGTTAACATAATCAACTTTACATTCTTTAGAGAATTTTGATCTGCTCCATATCAGATTGTGATGCTTGTTTAACCAAGGAATTGCTTTAGGACAAGCAGCTGCAATTTTCTCCATTAGATAATCATGCCTACGAGTTGTGCATGCTCATGCACAAGGCCACATAAATTTCAACACATCACCTTTGAACTTCTTCCTAAAATTGGCCATGAGGTGTCTAAAACACTCTCTATGCTCAACTTCACCATTGTAAGCTTTTTGGACACCATATTCTAGTCCCTTACAAGCATCACTGTGAATTGTCAACCCAGGTGGAGTCCCAATAGCCTTTTTCAGATTGGTCATGAACCATGCCCAATTGGCATTTGTTTCTTTGAAGAAAATGCCATACGCAACTGGATACATCCAGTTGTGTCCATCAATTGCAGTTGCTGCAGCTAATTGCCCTTTATACTTTCTAGTAAGGTGGGTGGAATCAACACCAAGATATGGTCTACACCCAGCCAAAAAGCCATCAACACATGCTCTAATGCACACAAACATCCTTGAAAAGTGCATTTTCCCTTTGATCTTCTTACAACCAATCTCGACAATGCTTCCTGGGCAGGATTCTTCTAGTGCTGCTTTTAATCTCCATAGCATTGTGAAGCTCTCCTCCCAAGTACCATGAAGATCATTCATTGCTAACTTTTTTGCCGACCACACTTTCCAATATGACAAGCCAATGTTATACTATTTCTCTAACCTTTTCTGTAACTTCTTTGAACTAAGAGTGGGATCATCCTTCACTATATCTTTAGATCTGTGTGATAACCAATTTATTGTAGCCTCGCGTCCCTTTGACGTGGCTGAGCTACGACATGTGTGCACACTTGAAATTTTGACCACCTACAGATAAAATGTAATAAAAAAATGTATTCAGATCAAGTAAAATATACAAAGTGGAAGGTACAAAGTGTATATTCTATAATAGTTTAAATAATAATAACCATTATACAATATACACTTAAAAATTTCGATGAATGTACAATAATTTCAATTGACACCAAGAGGGTAGAAGTAAAACCATGAATGTGTTGCCGCCATGCAGTTTCTTGGCAAATACTTTCCACTCGCAATTAGGATCTTTGCACCTTGCCCTGTACCGTTCTTTGTCACTATGTTCAATTCTACTCTCAAACTCATTTCTTATGGCATATGTCCTAATTGTTTCAAGAAAATCAGCCTTATCTTCAAAAGTGTCTCCCTCCTTGATTACTGGATTCTCTCTGTCATATGTTGTGTGAGGCACAACATTATCATCCACCAAAGCAGCCTCATCATCAGGAACATTTTAGTATCAAAGTCTAGAATAGGACATGTCCTCTTCCTTTTATGCACCACCATTGGTTGCACATTCCCCACTGGTTGCATAGGTTTGAAGTACCTCCACTCTTCATCTGCTCCTATTGCCTCATCTCCATCAGGATCACACAGAACAGTCATAAAGTGTTCATTTTCCTCTTCTTCAGCCATTGGTGCCCCTACAGCTGTCTGACCATATTCAGGTATTTCTCTCCATTCGGCTCTTTTTCTATATCAGCAAGCATCTCATCATCTCCATCATCCACTACCATGGGTATCTCTTTGCCCGCCACACCTACGACATCATGCATCTCTTTGTCCACCGGATCTGTTGTAATAGGCATTTCCTTGCACACCATATCTGCTGCAGCAGATGCCTCCTTGTCCATCACATCTATTGCAGCAGGCATGTCCTTGTTCACTCCATCAGCTGCAGCAGGAAACTCTTTCCCCTTTTCATGTCCACCCACTACCATAAACATCTTCACCTGATTTGATGACCTTAACAGGTCAAGAAGCTGAGCATTTGAACTTAATTTGGAGTCCAAACCACTTTTCTAAACAACCCAAAAAGTCGCCTTTTGGTTGCTGCCCCATTAAAAATATGGATCCATATCTTTCTCCAGATCGATGAGTGCATATTCTTTTGGATCCACATTCCATTTTATGGTCCTACCCCGATTATAAAACTTTTTACCCTCATGAACAGTGAAGTAAGAGTTGACAGTAACCTCTAATCTACACTGATTCTTTGGATTTTTCCTACAATAAATCACACAAGCATCGAAAATATATAGAACAAATGTAAGGAGCTGTTGACAATAATCTTAGGTCCCATTTATTCACTTCACCCAGGATTGGTCCAATTTGCACTTCACACATCCATGTAGGAATTTAAGAGATGGTCAAAGATTACCCTTTCGAACCCCCAGCAAGATCCATCTACCTCAATCCCCCTCCAATTTCACTTCAATGTTCTCTAAAAATCATTCAAAAAAACTAGGGTTAGAAGCGATGAACTTGGTGATGGGGAGGGAGAGAGAGGAGAGAGGAGGAGCGCACACCATGGATGAGAGGAGGAGGAGGAGCAATAGCCACCGAGGAAGAAGTGGGAGGCGCCTCCGGCCGCCGGTCACCGGTCGTTGAGGCCTAGAGCCTCCTACCTGCTACTGTGGGTGTGCATGAGGAAGTGGTGTGCCTGTTGATTGCTGTGTGCATGATGAGCAGGTTGAGGTGTGTGTGATGGAAAGGACAAGGACAAAAAGGACCATTCATAAATCCTTTGTTCACAAAAAAAAATAAAACTCTAAACTGATGTAACAGAAGTTGACGCAATGCTAAAAATAAATAACGTTGCAACCTTTCAATGGTATATAGCTAAGACTAAATCTTTTAATGGTACATATCCAAACATGCAATCTTTTAATGGTACATAGCTAATTTTCCCAAAAAAGAAGGTAAGAAGCAAGACAGAGTCAGGGGAAGGAAGATGGAACACGGGAGATGATGGCCTAGTAGTAGTTAAGTGTTCTATGAGGTTGGGGCCTTTTCACAAGTAGAGCTGTTGCTAGGTAGCGGCTTTAGGCTTAGCCACCTCTCAAATAACTATACGCATCTTGTTTTTATAAATCTCACTTTTTAAGTAATCATTTTTTATAAGAAAATATCAAATGTGTAATAATATCGTTAAGTTGATAGTGAGAAATATTTTGTTAGTAAACATTAGGAGACACAAGTGTTAATAATATTTTTCTAAGCTATAGTATTAAATTTATAGGACCACAAGTGCATTGTATGTGTGTTTTTCTGTCGAAGGGACAATGTAGCTAAAGAAACAGTGAAAATATGGTGGATGTGGATCCATCAATCCATGATGCAGCCTTAAGCAAAAGTTGCTTATAAAATACTATAGCGCGTGTGCATTTCAAAAGCACCGGAAAAGGAGATAAACACATTCACCAATAGTCATTAAAAATATCCATGAGATTCCTCTTAATCCACCTCCAATTTGAATGATACTAAGATTCCTCTTCTAATT